GACAAAAGCCAGCTAGAGGTAGTGTGAAAAAGCAATGGGCCAGCAGCCAACTCGAGACAAAACCCATCTCTGACACTGTCTAGGTAAGTGAGTTTGGCAAACCATTTCTCTTGCGACTTTCATTTTATCAACAAAATAGGTATCATATTCCATAGATGCAATGGTGGATCAATATCTGCATGTCAATCAACATGACACATCACATCAACAACAGAAAAGATAAAAACCATATGATCATTTCAATAGATGCAGAAAAACCAGAGTACAATATCCATGCATGATAAAAACTCTAAACAAAGGAGGTTTGGAAGGAATATACTTCAACATAATAAATGCTGCACCATTAAAAACCCATAACTAACATCATAATCAATGGTGAAAACTTGAGAGCCTTTCCACTAACATTAGGAACCAGACAAGGATGTCCACTCACCACTTTTATTCACCATCGTACCACAAGTCCCCCTAGCCACAGCAATCAGACAAGAAATAAAAGGCATCCAAATTGGTAAGAAAGAAGTTAAATTTTTACTATTTGCAGATGACATGATAAAATGTCTAGAAAACCCTAAGGACTCCACAAAAACAATTGGAACTGACAAAGGAAATCAGTAAAGTCACAGGATACAAAAATATACAGAAATCTGTCACAGTCTACATACAAATAAGAAATTAAGAAAACAATCCCATTTATAACTGCACCAGAAAACACACACAGACACACACACATAAACCTAGGAATAAATTCAACCAGGTGAAAGAGCTATACTCTGAAAACTATAAAACAGTGATGAAAAAAACAGACGATGACACAAACAGATGGAAAGATATTCCATGTTTGTGGGTTAGGAGAACCAATATTAACTAAAATGTCCACACCATCCAAAGCAATCTACAGATTTAACAATCTGTATCAGTCCCTATCAAAATACCAATAGGATATTTACAGACCTAGAACAAATAATCCTAAAATTTGTATGGAATCACAAAAGACCCCAAATGGCCAAAGTAATCCTTGAAAAAGAAAAACAAAACTGGAAGTATCAGAATCGCAGATTTCAAGATATAACACAAAGCTGTAGTAATCAAAACAGAATGGTACTGGCACAAAAATAAACATAGAGATCAATGGAACAGAATACAAAGCCCAGAAATAAACTCATGCTTTTATGGTCAATTAATCTATGGCAATGGAGACAAGGATATACAATAGGGACAGTCTCTTCAACAAATGATGTTGGGAAAATTGGACAGCTACATGCCAAAGAATGAAACTGGACCATTTTCTTATGCCATAAACAAAAATAAACTCAAAATGGAATAAGGACTTAAATGGGAGACCCAAAACCATAAAACTTCTAGAAGAAAAGAGGCAGTAATCTCTTTGACATCAGCTGCGGAAACATTGTTCTATATATATCTCCTCTGGCAAAGGAAACAAAAACAAAATTAAACTATTGGGACTACACCAAAATAAAAATGTTTTGCACAGCCAAGAAACCATCAAACAAAACCAAAACAACCTACTGAATCGAAGAAGATATTTGCAAACTATATGTCCAATAAGAGAGTAATATAAAAAAATAAAGAATTCACTCAATACCTAAAATAAAATCCAATTAAAAATTAACAAAGGACATGAAAAGATATTCTGATGGCCAAAAGACACATGAAAAGATGCTTAGCATCACTAATCATCAGGGATACACAAACCAAAACCAGGGTGAGATGTCACCTCACAACTGTCAGAATGGCTAAAATCAAAAACACAAGAAATACCAAGTGTTGGCAAGGATATGGAGAAAAAGGAACCCTCATACACTGTTGGTGGGAATGCAAGTTGTTGCAACCACTGTGGAAAATAGTATGAGGTTTCTCAAAAAATTAAAAATAGAATTACCATGCAATTATGCAGTAACTCCACCATCAAGTATTTACCCAAAGGAAACGAAAGCACTAATTCAAAATGATATATGTGCCCCTATGTGTACTGCAGCACTATTTACAATAGCCAAGATACAGAAGCAACCCAAGGGTCCATCCATAAATGAATGGATAAAGAAGACGTAGTTATATTATACACAATGGATTATCACTCAGCCATCAAAAGAATGAATTTTGCCACTTGCAATAACATGGACGGATCTAGAGGATCTAATGGTATGTGAAATGTCAGAGAAAGGCAAATACCATATGATTTCACTCACATGGGGAATTTAAGAAATAAAGAAAAAAACAAACAAACAAACAAAAAAAAGCATACTCTTAAATGCAGAGAAAAAACTGAAGGTTGCCAGAGGGGAAGGGGGTGCAAGGATGGGTGAAACAGGTGAAGGAGATTAAGGAGTACACGTATCATGATGAGCACCAGTCATGTATAGTATTACTGAATCAATACATCAGAGGCCTAAAATAATACAACACTGTACGTTAACTATACTTGAATTAAAACAAAATAGGCATCAAAATGCCAGTAATGCAAGCTTTCTGTAAGATCGTGTCAAAGTACACACAAGCTAGAAAGCATTCACACAAGAACACGGAATTTTTAGATAGCTGTTTGAGGCCTTTCAGCTCTACAATTATGGCACACGCACAAAAAAATCTATGCCCCATAATTATTTCTGGGCTAGGAACCATCAGGTACAAAAAAGATACCACATAACATTCAGATATTTACCGAAGGCATTGATTTCAGAATACTAGTTTCATTAAGTCTTTTTAAAAAGCCCAAACAGTTAAAGATTCTGGTACAATGTGCCATTAGGAAAGATCAAAATATAAGGGAATTAGGTGCTTGCTCCTCCCTCGGGCTCAATCACAGAGGATACTGATTAAGGAGAAAGAGCGGAGTTCCATACAAGAGAACTGCCAACACAGGGTCAAGGTAACACAAAATTGGAGTTCCCGGATAGCAAGAAAGTTGTTTTCTTTTTTATTTAAAAAAAAAAAAAAAAGTCTTTCTATACTGATTGAACAGAGTTACATTTGCCTATTAATATCCCACATCAACTAACAAACACAGTACCCAGTAATTATAGGATATAATATGAAGGAGAAGCATGAACAACAATCGTCAAATAATTCTTGTTCTAAATATACTACAACTATATTGGTCCAAGGAAAATAAACATAGAATACAAAAAACAAGGGTCTCCAGCCCAGCAAACTGGAACGTTCTAGCACTGCCCTCTGACATCTCCAGGACTTTGCACATGCTGCTACCAGGCTAGAAATGTCCTGTGTTCCTCTTCCTGCGTGAGGAACTCTTACTTCCAAAACAAGTATCCCCGGGGCGCCTGGGTGGCTCAGTCGGTTAAGCGCCCGACTTGGGCTCAGGTCATGATCTCACAGTTTGTGGGTTCGAGCCCTGCGTCGGGCTCTGTGCTGACAGCTAGCTCAGAGGCTGGAGCCTGCTTCAGATTCTGTGTCTCCCTCTCTCTGACCCTCCACTGCTCACACTGTGTGTGTCTCTCTCTCAGAAGTAAATAAAAACATTTAAAAAATTAAAAAAAACACAAGTATTCCCTCCAGAATGAAATGCTCCCTCTTTGTGCACCTCAATGGTGCTTCACATTACACTGTAGAAGGTGTTATAAAATGTGTAACACTGTATTGTTTCCCAACTTCTTCTCTTTTCCTAACTGTCTCCCCCGCTACACTGAGGGCTCCTTGAGAAAGTGCAATGCATTTTACTCATCAATTTACTCTCAGCTCTAACATTATGCCTGGGCTCAAAGTGAGTGCTGACTGACTGAAAAAAAAAAAAAAAAGAATAAACACGAAATGACATACTATTGTTTTATTATAGTCAACAGAATTTAAAAAGCGAGTCATTTAAAATTTGTTAAAGAGAGTTATTTAGATAGTATTAAAGAGAATGAGGAAAGGATGCAGGGAGAAAGGTAAAATAATGCTCTCAGGCACTAAAATGGTAACAGATCAATAGAGGCAACACAGTAAATTAGAGAGAAGCAAGTACATGGCAGAGGCCAAGTCATTTGATCTTCTGTATGTTTCTTCATCTGCAAAATGAAAACAAACTCCATGAAAGGCCTGAAGAGAATGCTAACTGGAAACTAGTGCCACCATAGGGGGTTCAACAGCAAAGGGACCTTCCAGACATCAACAGCAATAGTACTGCTCACTGCTACAGAGAGAATGCCAAAACAATCCAGAATGTGTGATTTAGTTGACGTCAATGTCAGAGGAAGAACTGGAACTCAAATTCTAAATATATTAAATACAAATGAGGCAAGAGAATGCTCATCTGATTTCTTATGATTTCTGTATTTTCTTATAATTTCCCTTGGGTAAGTAAAGAAATGAAAGAAACAGAAAAATAATGCAGTTTGATTCTCCCCAAAACAAGACAGACATGCTCCAATGCGTCCATATAGGTTAAGACTCTTGTGAGAGCAAGACAGAGAGAGTGAAGTCGCATCTGTCTCCGGGGCAGCTCCTACACGCCCGCTCACATCAGAACAAAGCGGACAAACACCCCTGCCAAGGGTCCAGGCATCTCTTGGAAAACAGTATAAACGGTTCTCCAAGCCCAGGATCAATGTGGCTTGTTTTTTCTTGGCGTTTCAATAATCTCAGATTTTTTTTTTTTTTAATTTTAAAACAAACCAAAAAGGATGTATTATGGACAAGGATACAAAATTTGCAGGTAAGATAAAACTTCAGACATACAACAGTTCCAGGAGATTTCTCTGGCTTCTATTCCCAAACTCTAGAGGACTAAGTTCATTCTTTAACATCTGTTCAAATAAGATGTTCAAATAACATCTTTGTTATTGAGAGAAGAGTGATATAGAGTAATACACGCAAAACTTAAGTGAATGGCTCCGAGAATTTTTACTTCTATATCTGCCCACATAGTGTACAATTAACAGCACATCCAGATGAAGATCCAGAACACTGAAGGTTCATTCAATTGTGCTTTACAGGTACTCTGTTGTATATTTGAGAAGCACAAGGTTAAGCTTGTGAGTTACCTGCTCTTGTCCCGGGCGACTATAAAGCTTGACACTTAACATCCTTAACAATCCCAGGGTCTTTGGTACCTACAAAATAAATGAACACCGAACAAAGAAAAATTAATGGAATGCCTTCTCACTTGTAAAAAGCCTTTTACCATGAAATGAAAACCATAGGAAATCTAGTGTTTTAAGAAATAGTTCAGAAAATCATCAATAGGTGTCACAGACCTTGGTGAGACTCCATTTTTATTTGAAACAAAAATTCCAAGTGGTCAATATTGGAACATATATCTGTAATCAAATGCTTTTCAAATACACACAAAACAAGTCTACCGCACTCTATGCAAATTAGAAGCCAGTCAAGCTATTCTCAAACGAGGTTTCCCTAAGTTATCATTTTTTCCTAACATCATTATGGAAAAGTCAAAATTTCCAACAGAAATTTCATTCATTAAGGAATTGATCCTACACTTCAAAAATACCAGAAAAACATTTTTTTAATGTTTATTTAATTTTGAAAGAGAGAGAGAGAGACAGTGTGAACAGGGGAGGGGCAGAGAGAGAGGGAGACATAGAAGCAGGCTCCAGGCTCCGAGCTGTAAGCACAGAGCCTAACCTAGGGCTTGAACTCACAGATTGCAAGATCGTGACCTGAGCTGAAGTCAGTCGCTTAACCGACTGAGCCACCCAGGTGCCTCAAAAATACCAGAAAAAAAAAATCAACATTTAGAAATACAGGGAGAAAAAGTAAAACAATGCTCCCATGCAATAAAATGGTAACAGAGGCAATGTGGTAAATTAGAACCTAGTACATGGCAGAGGCCAAGTCATTTGATCTTTCATACATTTCCTCATCTACAAAATGAAAACAAAACAGAAACCAGTATTTGAAATAATATGACACAAGACTCTCTTCAGACCTAAGACATGCACTTACAAAAGCAAGAGGGAGAGAAAGGTATAATTTAAGAAATTTAAAACAAGTATTGTTTTTAAAGAAGATGTTGAGAATTTAGAACACTGGTTGGGGGGTGGGGGGGGAATGTAAAATAGTACAGCTGCTGTGGAGAAGTGTGATGGTTCCTCAAAGAGGTTAACATAAAATTACCAAGTGACCCAGCCGTTCCATCCTAAGTACATACCCGAAAGAATTGAAAACAGATATCCCATCAAATACTTCTACACAAATGTTCATAACAATGGTATTCACAATAGCCAAGAAGTAGAAACAACTCTAATGACCATTAACTAAAGAATGAACAGAATGTAACATATCCCAGGACAGAACACTGTTTGTTCAGTCATACAAAGGAACGAAGCGCTGATAGATGCTACAATTTGGATGAATCTTGAAAACATTATTCTAATGAAAGAAGCCAGAAACAAAAGGCCAGGTTTTATATGATTCCATTTATATCAAACAGAGTCAGTCAGTCCAAAGAAACGGAGAGCAGACCAGAGGTTGCCAGAAGCTGGAGGGAGGAACAGAGAGGGACAACTGAATGAGAATGAGGTTTCCTTTTCGGGTGAGGAGAATGTCTTGGAACTAGACAGTCGTGATCACTGCAAACATGGTGCATGTCCTAAATGCAACTGAATTCTACACTTTAAAATGGTTAATGGTGGATTTTATGTTTTACGAATTTTATCTTGGGAGAAAAAGGCAAAGAGGAGTACTGTTTTGTTGAGGTTAAAAACTGTCCTATCAGACTTCCAAGTATAGGCCATTAGTGGATAGCCTAGCTCCATGTCTCCCATTGTGTCCTCCAACAAAACAGAACAAGGGAAAATTATGAGGTGCCTGACTGGCTCAGTCAGTAGGACGTGGTCATGAACTGAAGTCCCATGCTGGGTGTAGAGCTTACTTGAAGAAAAAAAAAGTGGGGGGGGGGGGGGGGGGGGCAGAGAATAAATCTGTATATGAAGGAGGGCACTTTGGGGATGAGCACTGAGTGTCGGCTAAGCATCAGGTCATGATCTCATGGTTCGTGGGTTCGAGTCCCACGTCGGGCTCTGTGCTGACAGCCAGCTCAGACCCTGGAGCCTGCTTCTGATTCTGTGTCTCCCTCTGTCTCTGACCCTCCCCCTGCTCATGCTGTCTCTCTCTCTCTGTCTCAGAAATAAATAAAACATTAAAAAAAAAAAATTATGCCCTCAGTTTAACTTGAAGACAGAAGATAACACAAACTTCAAAATAACTTACGTAAGAAGACAAAAATCACCAAAACCCCAGGGTATCATCTCCACTGCTGCTGCCAACCCTCAGGTCCCCAGGGGTGCCTACTGCAAGGTCTGGTGCTGAGCAAAAGCAGATGGTAAAAATACTGCAGGGCCCAGGAAGGACACACAAGGGAAGGCAGCAAAGGGATCAATCTAAAACCATTGTCGGGGCACCTGGGTGGCCTAGTCGGTTAAGCGTCCGACTTTCACTTAGGTCATGATCTCGTGGTTCGTGGGTTCAAGCCCCGCGTCGGGCTCTGTGCTGACTGCCAGCTCAGAGCCTGGAGCCTGTTTCAGTCTGACTCCCCCTCTCTCTGACCCTCCCTTGCTCATGCTGTCTCTCTCTCTCTCCTAGAAATAAAAAAAACATTAAAAAAATAAATAAATAAAAAATAAAACCATTGTCAAAATTATAATCCAAGAATTATTTCCAGAAACAGAAAAAGATCTGAATCTATACATTGAAAGAGCCAATGGGGGGCGGGGGAGCATTTCTGAGAAAATTAACCCAGAAAAATCAACTCCAACAAATATCCTAGCAAAGCTATTAAAGAAAGGTGAAGATGAAGGTAGAAACTAATGTGCAAATATTATGTGTCCTGTCAAAGTAGCAATAACACAACTTAAAAAAGGAAGAGAACAGAAAAGAAAAAATGAAAATAGACTGATTTTTGTAGAAGCAATTAGCAGAAATTAAAGAATACCAATAAAATGCTGGAGGGCACTGATAACATCAATAAGATCCTTTGAGTGAAATGACGGAAGTAAATCCCCATGCAACAGAATTCGAATTCAAGACAGAAAAGAGAGAGGAAACGCAAGCAAGTATAGACGACTCTTAAACATGATAAAGAAAGGGAAATAAATGGGTTGGTAGCAGGATTTAGTGGGATCTAAATCCCCCAAAGGCAAAGAAAAAATAGTTTTTACGATAGAAAAACAAAAGCATGTTGTATACTGGTAAGTCTGATAGACAGCAAAATTCATGGCATAAGGAAAATATCCTTCCGTGAGCCAGTGTGAGATCTGGTGGACAAACAGATGGGCTGGCCGAGCTGGTACAAGCGCAGTTTGTCTGTGATAACGACAGAAATGGTACACAGGCAGGCAGGTGGCAGCGTCTTGTGGGAATATTCCTCTGATTACTTCTATAATCTGAGGGAAATAGGATCTCTCAGGGAAATAGGATTCCGAACAGCCTGTGTTCTTTCCACAACAGCCTTTACCAAAAAAGCAGCCGTGGCAATAGCATAAAAATTAGTTTTGTTCCTTTTGATACACTTTCTAAAACTCTGATCTTAAAAATACAAACATAATAATAATTAACACTATGGATCACTGTATGGTTTATCAAATGCTTCGCATATATTTTTTGTCTGATTGCAGCAAAAGCCTGACTACAGAGGCGTAAAGTGATGAGCCAGGCTCCCAATCCCAGACGAGCTCTGCCTCCTGAGTCTGGGCTCTTTCCTTGCTCCCAGTCACTAAATTCAGACCTGCTGCCCCTATTTGTGGACACAGCTAGACCCTGCCATATGGCAAACCCCTTGAGGGCTGCAACCTGTCTATTCCTAACACCCGGCAGCGATTCAGTGTTGAACAAATGAATAAATAAAACTACCTCACATTAATTTGAAACTTTGGTCAATGTACACATTGAATCTTGCATAGTCTCTTTTACAACCTAGCAGCCTTGTGAGAGACTAGAATCTATGTGTCAGCAGCGTTTTTTAGTCAATATCCACCTGAACACAATAACAAGCTTAAACAAACAAGTTTGATGAGGACAGTATCTGCCACCTGACACAAGGAGCTAATCCCAAAACTCAAATTACTCTGAGGTAAGGGTAGGCGGCGTAGAAGGACGGGACGTTTAGCTGCAAGACATATTTAAGAGCCACTAAAGTAATTAAAATACTCTTGCAGCGTTCAAAGAAATTAATCATACAGCCGAGCATTCAATTTGCAATTTAATGTTTTTCCCCACTTATTCTGTCCGTGCTCAGGCAATTTTCTTTTAAGAGACTGCAATACCGAAGCTTCAGGCTGGAGAGGGAAGGACCATAGCAAAGCAGATTCCAATACTTCAGTGAGGAGGAAAAGAAAAGCACAAGAGACTTCAAGGCCAAGGTGAAAAGAGGTTTCATGGTAGCGACCGCACTCCGTGACTCTTCGTCTCCCAGACCACTCTGTCACAAATACGCTCCATTCTACTGCACTGGAATGGACCTCCAGTTCGCCCACTTCATCTCTCCTTGTATCCTCCAAACCTAACCTATGTTTTTCTTTTTCTCCCCTCAATCCTCAATTTTGACAAATTTCATAGTGATGGTACAAATGAAACACCAGTATGCCTTTTGCTTGGGTTCACCAGTTATTAATGCTGTCACATTTGCTTTATCTGTGTGCGTATACGTATCTTTTAAACTATGGTTTTGACTAAACCATTTAAAAAATAAGCTGCAGACATCACACTTAGATTCAAGAGCCAACACTGTTCAAACTTTCTAAGAGCTGCCCTGAGTATCTCACACAGAAAACTACAGGCTGGGTGTGAATCATATCAAGAGAGACACAGGAATAACTTCCTGCAGAAATGAAATAAGACGCTGAAAAGGTATAAGCAACTCTTACCTCTTTTGAACTATGGGAGAATGAGCACAGATAAATCTGACAGTGCCACTGAGAGGTATCTAATTTCATACGGGGGCTGGGAGAAGGTGCTCAATGGAGTCTAGAAGATCCGCTCCGCCTGTGTTCCCTGTTTTTGGTCATGGGAATCTTAGGCTCCTTATCTGTCGAGTGTGGCTACTAACCCTCAGTCTGGACTCGTCTGGGTCGTGCAGGAGAGGAGGCGGGAACTAGAACAGGCAGAGGGTAACGCATGGACGGAAAAGCACAAAGCACAGTCCTCAATTGTAAACTCATCCAGAAACACAAACAGTTATAAGGTCTAGTGTCATATAAATCACTAAGTTGAACTAAGTTTAGAAAACAAAACAAACAAATAACAACAACAACAACAAAAAACCAGAGGCGCCTGGGTGGCTCAGTTGGTTAAACATCCGACATCAGCTCAGGTCATGGTCTCACAGTTCATGAGTTCAAGCCCTGCTGTGGGATTCTCTTTCTCCCTCTCTCTCTGCCCCTTGTGGAATTCTCTCTCTCTCTCTCTCCATCTCTCTGCCCCTCATGGGATTCTCTCTCTCTCTCCTCTCCCTTACTCACCCTTTCTCACCAAAAAAAAAAAACCAAAAAACAAAAAAACAAAAACAAAACAGAAAACAAAAAAAAAAAACACACGTACTTTGTTGAGCTCAGTTCACAATCACATACTTCAGAATATGCTAAAAGCTAAAGAAAAAAATGAACAGGAACTTACAATAATTGCTTAAGATTCTTTTTTAACATCAGACGTTTAACCATTCATGGTTTTAGGGGACTATTTTAAAACTGGTGTATTTTAACACAGAATTAGTAGGACAAATACATTCACTATAGGAGAAAACAACATGACACATTCCCTTATACTGTGCTTTAATTTTGTGATTTCTTCCATTACTTGAAAACATAGCTGAGTGTGCACTGGAAAGAAGGCACTGTGCTAAGAATGCGGCACATGATTCTGATCATGTGCTTGATTTCCCGCAGTTTACATAAATAACGAAGATATATAACATTACAGGGTGGCCAATATGGAAGACAAGTTATTCATTAATATCTCATTTTTCCTGGCTTTCTGGACACACAGAAAAACAATTTCCCCGGCCTCTTACAGGTAGGAAGGGCCATATGATTTGTCAGAATGCATGCGTGAGCAGAAGTAACATCTGCTCTGGTTTAAAAAGTTCCACCTTTTAGGGGCGCCTGGGTGGCTTAGTCGGTTAAGCGTCCGACTTTCGCTTAGCTCATGATCTCGCGGTTCGTTGGTTCGAGCCCTGCATCGGGCTCTGTGCTGACTGCCAGCTCAGAGCCTGGAGCCTGTTTCGGTCTGTGACTCCCTCTCTCTCTGACCCTCCCCTGCTCACGCTGTCTCTCTCTCTCTCTCCTAAAAATAAATAAAAATTTAAAAAATATATATTTCTTAAAAAATTCCACCTTTTAGCCCTCTCCTCCCTCGTCTACAAGCTGAGACAGTGGAGCCGCAAGAGGCCACCAGCCTCCGTGTATTCTTCAATCGTCACTTGGAACGAAGTGTCCAGGGGAGCCATGGTACCACCAGCAGCTCTGCCACAAATGAGGGATGAACTGGCATTCGGTGACCCATAGAAATGCCAGGAGTTGGGGCGCCTGGGTGGCTTAGTCGGTTGAGCGTCCGACTTTCGCTTAGGTCATGATCTCGCGGTTCTTGGGTTTGAGCCCCGTGTCTGGCTCTGTGCTGACTGCCAGCTCAGAGCCTGGAGCCTTTTTCAGTCTGTGACTCCCTCTCTCTCTGACCCTTCCCTGCTCACGCTGTCTCTCTCTCTCCTAGAAATAAATAAAAATATAAAAAAAAAAAAAAAAAAAAAAAGAAATGCCAGGAGTTGTCATCTGTTTATGTGACCGTTTTTACTATTGCAGCAGAACCTGGCCTACACGGACTATTCCAGAGTACCAGGCGCTCTGCTATTCAACAAATGAATGGATGGATGGCCAGGTTTATCACTCAGATGAGCACACACGAAAATATGAGGAAGTGACCGTGGTGGTGAAGATCTTGAACAAGGAGACTTCTGCTGTATTCTGCCACTCGCTAGCTGGCAGTTAGTTACTTAACTGCACGTTACCTTCACCATCAACAGACAGGCTAGCAGCAATACCCACCTCAAAAAGTGGGTGAGAATTAAGTGAGCTAATACATACAACAGCATTCAGAACAGCTGCGGCACAGAAAACTTGCTGATTAAATGTTAACGTTTAAATAAGCAAATGCAAGGGACAGGACTACTGGTGTTTTTCTAACATCTGCCAATACCGTTACTAAAAATGAGACCAAGTTAAACACAAAACACTTTAGATAAATTTGATGTTTGGAAGAAGTACCAGCAGTTCACAGGAAGCCACTTTCCTCATCCAAGACAAATTACTTCCTCCTCTGCTGCCTAAGCTCTATTAGCAAAGTGAGGGGCCGTAACTAATACTTACTGCAGTGACCCTGTCTCCACCATTAGTAACCTGCTTATAATAAGGCGATCCTGAAAGAACTCTCCAGGCGGACAGGCCATTGCTAGCCGCTTTGGATATGCCCACTTCAGCAGTTTCGCATCCACCAACCAGTAAAAGTCTAGAAAACAGGAAAAAAAAGAACTGTTAAGTTGCAATGTGAATAAGAAGACATCAAAACAAGGAGAGCAGAAACAGTCACCTTCACAAAGAAAACTGATGGAAAACTCCTATTCACTAAACCCAGAAGTAAGATATTTTAGAAGAATCAACCAAAAGGAAACCAGATGGTTTTTCACCTCGAATTCCACCTTCACTTATACAGAGGTAACACCTGAAATCCAGATGGGAATCTTAAAGAAAGAGTAAGAATACTTCAAGGTGGACCCCTGAACACTGAAGAAATGGGCTGGATCAACACCAATAAACTTAATATCCAGTGCGTCCCCACGCCTGGGATACATATGCCAATCATAGCAGCACACTATGCGCGGTGAGGGCACACCTTCAGACTTTAGGAATGACCACCCAAGTGCTGGCCATAGGACTGAACTCTACAGTAATAGCGACACTGAAACAAGACAACACACATTGCACATAGATGCACATTATGATCTCTTTACTCCAGTTGTTCTACTTCCTGAGCAGTCAGAGGCAAGTTGCCAACGGGGCAAACAGTCTAACACATACTAGAAGTTAAAAGACTGACACTACACAGACTAAACTAATTAATAATGAAAACCATGGGGCGCCTGGGTGGCTTAGTCGGTTAAGCGTCCGACTTTTGCTTAGGTCATGATCTCGCGGTTCGTGGGTTCAGGCCCCACGTCGGGCTCTGTGCTGACTGCCAGCTCAGAGCCTGGAGCCTGTTTCAGTCTGTGACTCCCTCTCTCTCTGACCCTCCCCTGCTCACGCTGTCTCTCTCTCTCCTAGAAATAAATAAAACATTAAAAAAAAAAAAAAGAAAACCAAACCATCATGAGGTTTCTATTGGCATATAAATGATATGTAACATTAGTTCAGGTGTACCACATAAGGATTCAAAATTTGTATATACTTTGAAATGATCCCCACAATTAGTTAATATCTATCCCATACACAGTTATACATTTCTTTTCTTGTGATGAGAGCTTTTAAGATCTACTTTCTTAGCAACTTTCAAATAATGCAATACAGTATTTTTAATTGGAGTCAGCACCAGCAGTCATGATTTTTAAAGTTACAACATTCACTAAATCCGGCCAGGAACTATTATCAGGCATTATAATCATCTGTCGAGAAAGGAGAAAAGTTTAAAAGTTCTGATATACTAAAGGAAGCACTACAACTACCAGTGAATCATTCATTGTTCCCAATGACAATAAGGTGAAATAGTAACAGAAGAAAGAAACCACAGTTTCATTCATCCTGTCCATATAAAGCTCCCCCAACATCATCTACCCCTGTCCCTAATGACAGAAAATTAATTATCAAGCTCCCTTTAAAGCAAAACACACATATTGTCACCAGGCTCCCATGTTGTCAAAAAAGGGGATGTATTTCATCACATAAATTAGTCCTTACCTTTTTCTAGACCATGTTCATAGAAAGAGCAAAACTTAAAAAACTTTAGTTTCTGCACAGAAAATACAAGGTCAACAAAAACAACACTTTATAAGGCTCTTTAGCGTTGGCAGATCAAAGGATTTACTTTTAAAAAAATCCAGAATAGGTGGGTGAAGGAAGGGCCAGAGTGGCCATGAGTCGATTGTTGAAACTGAATGACAAGGTAGAAAAAAGTCAATATATTATTGTCTCTAGGAACATGCTTCAAACATTCCACGATGAAATTATTTTCAAAGGTTATTGTGTTTAAAAAGAAAAAAACAAAACAAAACTCTGGGAATGACTGGCTAGCTAAGTGAGAAGAGTATTCGATTCTTGATCCCAGGGTTGTGAATTCGAGCCCCACATTGGGAGTGGAGATTACTTTAAAAAAAAAAAAAAAAAGGTCCTCTAATAAATAGAAACAAAACAGGTAATTCTGAATACTGATATTTCTGAATGTAATCTGTGTTTTTTCAAACAGAAAACATGTTTTTCATAAAATGTATCTTTAAAAATAAGCAACCTATAATTATAATAAAGATAAAAACACTAAGAATTCAACAAATCCCCAAAAGCCCAGGACAAAGCAGATCTGACAAAATAATTTTCCTGTGCTCTGTATACAACACATGTATTCATATTAACAGAATTCTTTTTCTCAAGGGATTGAATATTATTATCTAATCTATAGTACCAGGTCATGGAGGGGACATATCTAATTTTCAGATGGAAAACATATACAGCTTTTGGCTCTCGGCTTGGAGGAGGCGAAGGTCCAACTGTCTTCTGTCATCCAGAATCCGGGTTCATCCGAACACCAGCAGCCTCCACCACACCACCTAAATTCAATCCCAATAAGATCTAAGTTGTATACCTGAGGTACACCAGTGGGGAAGTCGGTGCCACATCTGCCCTGATCCCCAAGATTTCCCCGAGTCTGTCTCCAAGAAAGGCTGTTGATGACATCTCCAAGGCAACCTGTGATCAGAAAGCTCTGAGGATGACAGTGAAACTGACAGTTCAGAACACACAGGCCCAGATCGAAATGGTACCTTCTGCCTCCTTCCTGATTATTGAAGCCCGTAAGGAATCACCAAGAAACAGAAAGATGCAGAAAAACATTAAGCGCAGTAAAGTACCACTTTTGACAAGATGGTGAACATTGCCTGGCAGCACCGTTCTTTAGCCAGAGAACTCTCTGGAACCATTCAAGAGATCCTGGGGACTGCCCAGTCTGTGGGGGAGCCACCCTCATGACATCAGAGATGCCTCAACAGTGGTGCAGTGGAATGCCCCACTAGTACGAAGTACAAAGGAAAATTTTTCAATAAAGGATCATTTGATAACCAAAAAAATATATATACATATATATGTATAAAACTAAGTTGCCTGACTACTGAAGAAGGAAATATAGAGCTAACTGAAATTTCAGATTTCTTATCTCTTGCCTTCATGTGAGAAGACACTTCCTATCTATGATTTTTGATAAATATCATAGCCATGTATACATCAAACTGGCTACATGCAAACTTCATTAAGAACAAAAGAGATCCAGGGACGCCTGGGTCGCTCAGTCAATTAAGGGTCTAATTCTTGTTCTCAGCTCAGGTCTTGATACCGGGGTCATGAGTTCAAGCCCTGCATTGGGCTCCTCGGTGGGCACAGAGCCAACTTTAAAAAAAAAAAAGAACGAAAGAGATTCAATATCTGCTTCCAAGCCGTTCCTCCATTAATGCCCAACTGAGTGGAAAAAGAGGCAAAATGATGAAACTAGTGTGTACTGTCTTCACTAGATGATAAAACCATGTAACTTGAATGAAAACAGTCAATGAAAAAGAGAGAAGTCTGAGGCCAGCCCAGCACAATATATGGAATAAATGTTTCCTGAGTAACTGAATGTAAAGCTCCAACTTTCTCCTTCAGCAGCACAGTGAAAGGTGCTGTAACAACGCCACTTCTCCCTGCCTGTCCTCAAGCTTGCTGATTCCAGCAGTGAGGTGGGAGAAGATGGGGCAGCAAGAAGGGGAAAGGTCAAGGCCACAGGGGGAGGGAGAAAACGGGGGAAGGGGATGATTCACTGATAAAGATAGAACAACGCAAAGCCAATAATCTGATAAAGGAAAATATTAAGATTTCAAACTGTTTATGAAAGACTAAGAGCCAAGAATAAAGAGAAAAATACCATGTTCTCTGACACACACTCAATACCTGAAAGATGACAATTCTTCATCTATAAATTGAATGCAATTTCAAATAAAATTCCAACAGAATTTTTCATAGAACTGAACCAATACACTAAAAGTAGACAAATCTAAAATTTGCATGGGAACTCACAGTTCTAAGAAAAGTCAACTCGATTCACACTGATAATCTTTCCCTTTATGGGCTATCCTTTTGTGCATCTTCACCTGCAAATACTTTCCTACCTGGCATCATTAAGACATTCTCCTTCGAATTTCACCATATCACATCTAAAACTTACAGGGGTGCCTGGGTGGCTCAGTTGGTTGAGTGTCTAACTCTTGATTTAGGCTCAGGTCATGATTCCAGGGTCGTGGGACTAAGCCCCATGTCAGGCTCTGCAATGAGCGTGGAGCCTGCTTAAGATTCTCTCTCTCTCCCACTGCCCCTCCCCTACTACTCTCTCAAAAAAAAATTAAAAATTAATTTTAAAAACTCTAAAACTTTTATTTATACTGTGAAAAGATAAATCACACACAAGGTGAACACATAAAAGTAACAGAGTATTAGCAAATAATTTATATAGATCTCCCATAATCAGCCCGAAAAAGAAAAATGGACAAAGCATTAAGCAAGTCACAAAAAGAGAAATACAAAAGTCAATAACGCAGACTAAAACAATACAGATTTAGGGTGCCTGGTTGACTCAGTTGGTAGATAAAGCATGTGACTCTTGTTCTTGGCGTGGTTGAGTTCAAAGCCCCATGATGGGCATAGAGCTTATGTATAAATATAAAAAAAAAATCAGTAAAATATAGAGAATGTTTAAGAACACAGTTAAAGTACTGGTGAATTGCAAATTGGAGCAATCATTTTGGAGAATGATATGGCAATACCTAACAAATACATATGTCCAACTATCCCATAACCTATGTTCTAAGGAAACTCTAGAGAAATTCTTGCACAGGTATATTTATCTCTTGGTAAAAGAAGATTTTGTGCAGCACTATTTATAATGCAGGAGAATCAGAAGTATCTTAAATGTTTAAATGGGATGGTTAAATTCAATAAACTATTTAGGAAAACACATACAACAAAAATAGAATAGATAGGTAGGTAGATAGACTTAAAAAAGGGCACGCACAAAAATCTAGAGAGTAGCTACCTCCAGAAAGGGCTGAGGAGACAAAGGAATGGAAGATGGGAATTTAGGGAATTCTGTTTGTACTACTATCTCTCTTATTCACGTATGTGTATGTACATGGACACACACACACCCCTTAAGTAAAAAAGAAAACATTGGTATTTGTTAATTCTGAGTAGTAGATACTTGGGTATTCATGACATCATTCT